AGGGGTAACTCGGAAGGTTTAACTGATAGTTAACAACAAACCAATAACAACATCAGGGGTAACTCGGAAGATTTAACTGATAGTTAACAACAAACCAATAACAACATCAGGGGTAACTCGGAAGATTTAACTGATAGTTAACAACAAACCAATAACAACATCAGGGGTAACTCGGAAGGTTTAACTGATAGTTAACAACAAACCAATAACAACATCAGGGGTAACTCGGAAGGTTTAACTGATAGTTAACAACAAACCAATAACAACATCAGGGAAGGTTTAATTGATAGTTAAATGCTGTTAAATATCATTGCTGTTCTTCTTTTAGTTTTGAAAACATTTAATGTAAAATCTAAAATATCCCCGACCGGGGGTCTTCTAGAACCCCCCCCTCCAAAGAAGTATGTACAGTCGCACCTTTCCTGTATAGTGATTAACAAACTTCCTTAGTTGTTTGTTTGTTATTAAGCACAAAACTATACAATGGGATGTTTGTGCTCCGCCCACTGCGGGTATCGAAACTAGATTTTTAGCATTATCAGCCTTCAGCGTTACAGAAGCTTGAGCAGCTACCTGAAATAGCCCTTCGATTAATAAAGAGGTTATTACAGTTTGCGAGCAAGTTTTTATTAAATTTGATTACAATTACAACAGGATTCTTTAAAGCTTTTCGGGTAAGAATAATTAGTTTGTTGAAATAAATATGGAGAACAAGAAACTGGCACATAGTGGAAAAGAAAGTGAGGATTTTACTTGTTTAATTTATTAATATATTAACATGTTTAATTTAATAATATATTAACTTGTTTAATTTATTAATATATTAACTTGTTTAATTTATTAATATATTAACATGTTTAATTTATTAATATACTAACTTGTTTAATTTATTAATATATTAACATGTTTAATTTATTAATATATTAACACGTTTAATTTATTAATATATTAACACGTTTAATTTATTAATATATTAACTTGTTTAATTTAATAATCTATTAACTTGTTTAATTTATTAATATATTAACTTGTTTAATTTATTAATCTATTAGCTTGTTTAATTTATTAATATATGAACTTGTTTAATTTATTAATCTATTAACTTGTTTAATTTATTAATATATTAACTGGTTTAATTTATTAGTATATTAACTTGTTTAATTTATTAATATATTAACTTGGTTAATTATTTATCAACATTTTTGATTCGGGTGGTATATTTTACGTGATTTTATATTTTTTGTTCAGGTGGTATATTTTACGTGAGTTTATATTTTTTGTTCAGGTGGTATATTTTACGTGAGTTTATATTTTTTATTCAGGTGGTATATTTTACGTGAGTTTATATTTTTTATTCAGGTGGTATATTTTACGTGAGTTTATATTTTTTATTCAGGTGGTATATTTTACATGAGTTTATATTTTTTATTCAGGTGGT